TTAATCTTCACATTAAAAGCAAGAGCTTTTAACTAAAAGTCCATTCTCTTTGCTGTAAAAACCTGGAGCCAGTCATGATGTCGTTCTACTTATACCAGCAGAACTTCTAATATGGGTAGGCACATACCAAATATCATCTGTAAATTAAATTAAGCCTCTAACATTGCAATCTCCATTTATTTTTTCAAGCTGGCATTCTTTGCAAAAGATCCAAGAATTGCTAGGTCATCTTCAATAACCTCCCAGTGGTACTGAGTTAATTTAGATCTATTAGCAATGCCCAAGAAAGACATAATTAGTTTTAAGGATAGATATGGAAATATATGGTGTTTTGGGTTTGGGCTTTTTCATGAGAATATGGAAAAATATAGTCTGTAACTTTTGTTAAAATATGAGAGAGTACAGGATCAGTGTAACTTTCACATAGGTACAGGTTCTGCTGGCTCAGTGCTTAGATTTAACATCAGATCTTTAAACAAGCACTCATCAATCCAGGTATTTATAGACAAACATAAATACATAATGGCACAATGTAACAAACTGGTTCTAATACCAGGGACAAATTATCCCAACAGCTTTAAGCAGTTCCTTTCACCTTCAGTTCTGATTTATCACTATTCATCCTTCCTAAGTACTGAAAGTTTTGAAAGAAAAGGCTGGAATTTTCTTTTTATCTGATTTTCTTTGGAAAATGTACTGCAATTCTTAGTGAAATCAATCAGTGGTCTCCAATAAGATTTTCTTTTGAGAAAAGTAATAAAAAAGAGCAGGATCAGTCTAACTGAATCAGCAGGGAGTTGACAAGTGGGCACATTGGAGAGAAAAATGGGAATAGTATCCAAATATATTGAATGCAACTATGTATGTGCCATTTGTGAATCAGACAGTACGATCCCTGCTCTGTAATAAGAAACTGAATGTTAAGGTTCAACTTAATAAAACTCCAAATTCTGTTGGTCTACTAAGTTTTACATGGTTTTAACTTGAAAGATGAGAAAAATGGGGTTTTTTCTTGTTTAAAAAAAAAACAAAACTGCACAAGCTCTTGAATGTATTTGCATTTTAGTTGTTATTACAGCTCTGGGTCTGAAGGCTGCAAACAGTCTTTGGCAAGAGCAATTTAACCAAATCCATGGCAGAAATGTCACATTTTTACCAGTCAGTTGGGGTTTTGTGGTTGCTTTCTTTTTATTTGGCTTGTGACTTGGAGCAATTCATTGAGACCACAGAAGACAGCTACAGTGACACCCAAAATCTTAGGTCTCAGATTTTTCTTCTCATATCCCAGTAAACTTAAACATAAATGAGTAATCTTACCCTGCCTGACAGTACTAGGGCTAAGAATTGCTACAGTTCATAGTAAAAAATGAGGAAAAAACCACTTAAATAACAACATAAGAACATCAATATTACCTACATATAAAGAAAATTTACATTCTCCACTTGTTTCCTTGCTGCTTCAGTCTACTTCTTGCAATGGACATCACTGTGGAGTGTCTGTACTCATAATAATGTGAAGTATTTGTGAGTTTAGTTGGACTGTGGCTAATCCAGGAAACCAAATAATTTGACAAGATAGTTTTGGTAAAACATCTCACTATATTCAGGTAAAGCTGCTCAGATGAATGCTCCTGGAAAGTGTCACTAATTCTTCAGGGCACTGAAGAAAGAATTGGCACTGCTCTAACAGGAAATTATTTTGTTTCCTAGTGCTGTGTGGGTATGCAGACTTCTGTGGGCTACAGAATTAACCCTGAATTTCCTAGAGTGGTTCTTAAGCCTCAGTTCCTGTTAGAGGCTCTCATTTTTTGATCTGCCTTAAAACAAATCTGACAAGCAAACCATGTTCCAGCCCCTGTCAGCCAGCTGCCAATGCATGGTGAAATCCTCAGCCACCATGTTCCTTCTGCCATGCTTTGTGCCACCTACTTCTGCTTCACGTATGGAAAAGGTTTGGGAATTCAAACCCGATTAGGAACAGCTGAGTTCAATCAACACTTTTGAACCAAAAATGGAAATGAAGAAAACTTTGCATGTTGTTTCTGGTACTTATGAAGATATCTCAACACACATGGAAAAGACAAATTAATCAATCAAGCTAATTCAAAACAAACTTTCATGCACTCCAAGGAGAACTCCTTAGCCTTACAGCATTCCTTCCATGTTGATTACAGTCACTTTGGGGTCAATTTGCCTTTCAGATTCTGAGAAGCTGCAGCAACACACTGTGAGAAAATGTCTCTTTTCAAAGGGTTTCTTCTCAAGGAAATTACCACAGATGAGCACACTCCTACTTATTTTGTGCCTTTCACCCTTCTTTTTATAAAAATCAAACTTAACCTGATCGTATTTCTATAATGCTTTAGGAAGTAGCACACCACATGGATTTCATGCTGCCTTAAAAAAAGAATGTAAACGATAATATTCTCAATGGAATCCATCAAGCTTTATCAGTGAACTATTCACAATTCCTTTGCTCTCTCTGACATGTCCTAAGTCAATGTACACAACTAGAGCAGGCTTTTATGAAGTGTCACAGGACACAAAGTGAACAGCACTGCTTCCAGACAAAAGCAGCAAACCAGAAAAAAATTGTTTTATTCAGTAAACAAGTCAAGTTTGGTTCAATATATATTTCTGTCAACCCACACATCTACTTGTTTGGTGTTTATTGTTTTCTTCATCCACATATAACAATTCTACACATGGTCAACTATTTAAATGTTCTCACTAAATCCTAAGAAAGAACTACATTAACTGTTCACATCCACCTGGGGGCAAAAGATAGATGCACTTATTATGATCTGGTAGATCTTGTGTTCATGGTCCTTCTATGAGCATGTACAGGAATTCATGTCCACAGGGAGAAAACAAAGAGCAACTCCCCAACTTACATCTCTGTCCAGAACTCGGCCAGTGCTATTGAGGTATAACCGCTGGCTGATGGGATCCAGGATCACCCAGTAATCCAAGTTGTCCTTTAAGGAAAGTTCAATGGTGGGGTCTGGCCCTCCTGCTGTGCCTTTGATCAGCATGTTGTCCACCAGGATAGTGCCTACAGAAGCAAGAAACACACAAGGAAGAACTTTACTCATGCATCTACATTTCTATATTGTTTTGTAACAGCAGCACTATCAACACTGTTTTCTAACTAGGGTTTGTGGTATTTTATCTTGTGAGTCATCTTTAAAAAGTGTGACCCTTATGATCTGTGGTGAAAAACTGCCTGACACTGAAGGCCATTTCAGACAATACCTGAAGAAGCGCCTGCAATGCACAGCAACTTAAGGTGATGATGAGACCCACCACCCACAGCTGTCTATTTAACATTATGAGTTTTTTCTCCATTGAGCAATCTCACCCAAGCTCACTTCAAACAAATGGAAGCACTGAAATAACAACCTAAAGCAGAATAATTTTTCTACAGCAAGGGTAACAGATCAAGGTGGGGGTGGGGAAAATCAGTTACATAAAGCTCTTCAGGAAAAAGAGAGGTTTATACCAGGAGTTGCTCTGCAACAGGAAACTGAATTGCAGCAAAAAGACATGAAAACCATGTATACTGAGACAAAGCTGGTACTTAATTAGGACCAGTCATCTATTCAACATATATATTTTATTCTTTCCTTCTCTTCTCCCATCCTGTCAGTTAAAAGTCTTGCTTAACAGCTTTATTCATCAGTTCACAGTACCCACAATGTAATTTCCAGGCACAACACTCCAACTCGCTTTCCAAATGCCAAGCTTTACTAACGACCCTAAGTGTTGCACTCTGGTGCTTAACATTTGCATGTAAAGTAGTTAAAAACACTTCTCTAAGATCCCATTTTCCTAAAAATTAACACTACCCAATTTTCTTCACACTGAAGCATTAAAAGGAATGATCTGTGTTGAACTTCATCAGTGGATATGAGGAAAACTTGTGAATGTAATTGGCTACAGAACATTTAAATTAGTGAAAAATCTTTATCACATAACCTCCTATATCAGGGGATCAAATAATTTATCCCAAAGTGTAAAGATTCTTTACACCTTCACTTACAACAACAGTGACTCTGTATAAATACATTCATCTGGGGGAAGGTTGAGAGTTGGGTTGGTGCTTTTTCTGGATCAAACAACAAACTGGTTTAGAGTCCTACTGAGAAAAATACCAGAAGAACTGGGGGAACTGAAGTAACCAAATAACACAGCAAAGGTAACAGGAGCGGGTTGGGAAAGTAGTACAAAAAAATACTACATGAAATAAATAGGAAACAGAGGAGGAAAAAAGCAGCAAGAGCTTCCGTCTTCTCTCCATTGTTGAAGACTATTACTCTCCATGAGAAGCAAACGGGCATCACAGCTCAAGTTCCAAGGACACAGAGCTACCACAGGTGCCCACCAACACAACACTGCCAGATGATTAAGCAATCCTGACATATAAAGAGGGTTTATTTCTCTCCTGAGATAATTTGTTAAAAAAATAAAATTAAAACTGTCCTATAATGAAAACTGGTCCCTGTTTCCTACAAAACCTGAGATTATACCCATAAGCTAACATCATAATCACTTCTTGACTGAAGTGATAGTGGCAAAGGTAAATTCCTTTTGGACTTTTCAGTTGCACTGGCTGGACAGAAGTCCGGATTACACAACACTAAAGGATTAGTAATTAGAGGGAAAAAAACCCACATATCTCAAAGGCATGTACAAATTCCTGAGGGCACACTTTACTTTTGGAAGTGACAAGATATACAGGCCTTAGTGCCAGAAGCACTTTCTGCACATTAAGGATTGCAAAAAACCAAAGAATAATTTTAGACTGCAACATCTACATAAAGAGGGAAGTGCCACAAAACAAGCCAGCAGTGGTTCTGTGTCCCTGTGGTGGCACATACCAAACATTTTACTACCCAGCGTTTGGAGGCAGATTTGGTTCAGTTGTACACCACAGTTTGCTGCTCTTTGTCCAAGGAGGCTTTGTCCTCCCTGGTGTAGTTCCTAGACAATTGACTTCTGCAAGGGCTGAAGAGCTCAAACAAGTTCAAACAATAATGCATCAAAAATAAATTATTGCTTTTACATACTTTAGAAGTATTTAATCAACTTCAAGTCTTGATGTGATGATGAATTTCGTACAGTCTCTAGTAAAGCTCTGCTACTTAACTGAGCTTACAGCTTTGATTTTTGCATTTTATTGGGCTTTTCCTCTGCTGCACTTTATAATAACTATCTGCTTGATTTAACAAAGCACTTCTACTTGGTTTGTTTTGATACAGCGACACTTGCTTTTAAAAATGGACTGGTTTTCTTCAAGTATTCATGAGGAACTTGTACTCTCTCTTCAAGACACAGCATTCTGCAAATAATCCTTTTAATAGCCGTCCTTGTAGTATTCTAATTTACAGAGAATCTGACATTATAGGTCTCATTTTTGTCCCTTTGGATATCTATAATTTTGTTCCTTACATACTGCCTCTGTCCTTGGTCTAAAATGCCAGGGAGTTAATCAACTACCAATAAATCTGACTACACAAGGTTCAATGTTAACTCTCCATACTTGCCAGCAGAAAAGCAAACACATCCCTTTTTATCTGCAGTACAACAACACAGTCAGTTTAGACAACTGGCTTTTGTAACTTTCTGAACAAAAAGAAGCTCAAATGTTGCTCTAGCTGAAGTGAAATATTTTACCTTGTCACAAAAGTTGTATTTCTTCTTCTGTATTACATTGCAAGTTCAATTTTACATTACTGGGAATGATGAGGGGTTGCCTGCTGAGGGCAACTGAAGAGGATGTTGCCACTCATGGCAAGGACAGAGGTGGTCCATGTACATGCAGGTTTCTGGGAAATTACACTCCAACATATTCCTAGTATTTCAGCATTGTTCCCTGCACTTATGTCCTGGGTGCACAAGGCCTTGAAAAGGGCATCAGTAATTAGTGAAATATTTCCTGGTTAACTAAAAAAAAAATTACTGATGTGGAAAACAGATTGTTCATCAACACACGTAGATGTTAAGAACAGCTTTTTCATCTCATATGGAAATACAATTGGGCTGCTTTTCCACCTTCCCTGAAGCCTGATGACCACCAAGATGTCTTGTGGGAAGACCATACAGACTTTCAAGGGATTACTACAGAGTAAGTCTCAAGCAATCAAAGCTAAGCAAGCTGTTGCCTAAAAACCAACAAAAAAGCCAGAAACCAACAGACCATACAAGAGAGGAATGATCTGTTATTTTCAAGAGTAACAGTATTTTTCTGAAAGTAATGACATTTACTCAGAAATGTTACCTGAGCTTGTTGGGAATTAATCAACAAGTAGCTACAAAATAAAACAAAACAAATACGAAAAAGTGCTGTAAAAAATTATAAGGGGAGTTTGACACTAGACTAATCCTTTGAGAGGAATGCAGCAGATGTAAATCTCCATTAGACTTGAATAACAGGGCAGGGTTTGTTTCTACAGGTGAGCTTCTGCAGAAGGTTATTTTTCTATAGGAAGGGCATTACCAGGGTCTTGGATGCAAGAGCCATAAAATACCAAATTTGCAGTTCATGCTCTACTAAAGACCCTCAGCACTCAGTGACGACTCACTTATTGAATGATTTAACACATCTTGGGATTTAGTTGAAAGTTTCAGCAGAGCCCTTTTTTCAGGAGTCAATGAATTATGACTGCTCTAGGAATAACCCTTATGCTGGCACATGAAGCAAAAAACAGAATTCTAGTGGAATGAAACTTGCAGCACTTCACATGTAAGAGTGAAAAGGCATTTTTGTCAGTTGCCTAAATGCAAGGATTGCAAAACAAGGGGGCTGTTTACTTCCACCAGGAAGATTTCCAATTTAAAAATGAAACTCACAGCTGGAGTCTTTGCTCTAGCATCTTATTCTTCCTGCTTGAGGCAATCACTAAGAAGATGAAAGAGAGCAGCAGTGGGGCTTCTCTTTCTCAGTGGCTGAGCTCGAGGAAGGTGGAGCACATCCCACTTCAGTTCCAGGCCTGGCAGTGGGACCAAGGACTTCATGCATCAGGGATGGGCCCAGAGGTGCTGAAGACATTGACCAGTTAAACTGCATTTCTGAAGAAAATGGGGCAGACCTTACCCTCAACAAGGCTCTTGTACACAGCAGGGTGCAGCCTTCCACACACTCAGTACTGGATAGGTCACATTCAGAGCAGAAAACAGAGATCCCAGAAGCACCAGTGCTCACAAACTATAGACCTAAAGCCTGAAGAGAAATGTGTCTGAAGGCAAGTCAGAAGTATGAAAGACCTCAAATCAGCCAAATGTCCTTCTCCTTCCTTTGAAAGGAGTCTTAAAACTTGTTATTCTTATTTAGGAGTTGATGAAAAGATAAAGCCACCTGCAACTGCATGATTACCCTCCACTTCTGCCAAATTACATTAGCAGCTACTTCAGCTGTATGGTGTGCAAAAAGGCTAAATATAATAAAAGAATCAGTCTGCTGTTCACACAGAACATGTTTTTCAAATCAGCATATTAATCAGGTCTGAATAACAAGTCCCAATACCATGTCAGTGAATTTACATTAAATATAAATGCATGGTACTCATCCAGAAGACATGACTTTGGGAAAGAAGCAGGTATCCAGGGTGCTGTACCCTCAGAGGCACAGGGATAAGCAACGTGACATATTCACTCATGGAAAAGGGAGGCAAATTTCCAAAAGACAAGTAGAAAGAAATATTGGTACTTAAAAGACATATATTTACACACAAACACAAAACATTTGAGCTGTGATAAGGGCAAGTACCAACAGCTGCCAGTAGATGGAAGGACATTCATTATTCTGCACTCCAAAGCAGTGGGGTCTTTGCACGTCTGGTCTGTGAAAAAATGAAAACCAAGAAAGCAAGCATAGTGAGAATAGGGAGCCTCAAAAAAGGAGAAACTCCTGCTCTGTGAAGAGCTGCTGAAGTTAGCACCTCTGGACAACAGCAGGCTGGCAAGCTCAGACTTGGTGGTGGTGTGGTATTCAGAATTTACAGTGTTTGTCTCGAACAATCCAAGAGATAAGTGATGGACTCTGGCACTCAAGAT